CAGGTTGCAGACTTCTTGTTGTATCCTCAAATGGCAGAGCAGAGAAAAAGAGCAGAGCAGAGAAGGCAAGCTCTCTCAGTACTCTTATAAGGGCACTAATCCCCTTCATGAGAACTCCACCTTCATGACCTCATCTAACCCTAACTACCTCCCAGAGGCCTCATCTCCTAATGCCATCATATTGGGCAGGAGAGTTTCAATAGGAATTTTGGGGGGACACAAACATTCAGTCCATAACAGAGTGATCATAGCAATCTCTCCTGAGTCAAAAAATGAACAGGGGAAGAGTCCAGTAAGGAGAGACCATAGAAATTCTTCCTTCTAAGTAAAGAAATGGAAGCCACACCTTCAAGGCTCATGGGCAACAAGATGCTCCATGTGGCATCTCCTTTTCCAATATGTGGATCTCTTGACCTCCTTGTCCCATCTGTTAACCAGGCAGCTGGGTCTTGTTCCAGTGCCTTCTGTTTACGCAGGTTCATTTGCTTTGCAGCTGGAGGGGTAAACACTTCACCCACTGTTTGCCTTTGGGATCAACATGCAATATAATATAGGCAGCACTAGGTCAGGGTACACACTTCTACCCCCTTCCTGCTGATGAAAAAGTTTAGAAAGTAATTGTGCCTCTCTTCCCATACTGCCACACATATGCCAAAGCTGTCTGCTTCTGGCTAAATGGAAAGTTTCATTATAACCAGGGCCTAAAAATTTAATGGTACATTTTCCTCCCCACACTGAGCTAATGAAGAGGGCATCTTCACACTCTCTACCCAGAAACCAACCATGTGCTTAAATAAACTAACTAACCAAGTAAAGGTAAATAAAATTTAAAAGTATATACTTTAAATGGGTAAGATTCTTCATTTTTCCAAGTACTGGAACTATTTTTTCCCACTATTTATCAAGACATTTCTTCCATTACTAAGCCAGAATTCTCTCCCTTGCTTTGGGCTATTGCTTTCTCCCCATAGCACTGATCACCATTTAACATCCTATAGATTTTTATTTATTTATTTTTTAAAGATTGGCACCTGAGCTAATAACTGTTGCCAATCTTTTTTTCCTGCTTTTTCTCCCCAAATCCCCCCAGTACCTAGTTGTATATTTTAGTTGTGGGTCCTTCTAGTTGTGGCATGTGGGACGCTGCTTCAGCGTGGCCTGACCAGCGGTGCCATGTCCGCGCCCAGGATCCAAACTGGCAAAACCCTGGGCCTCCGAAGTGGAGCGCCCGAACTTAACCATTCGGCCATGGGGCCTACCCCCTATAGATTTTAATTATTTTGTTCATCATCTGCTCATAGCATCTCTACAAAAATTAAACTGACTATATTGTTTATCATCCAAACCAAGACACCTTGGAGAGTGAGAGGGAGCACTAACACAAATTACGCCAGGAGACGAATGTCACTGGAGACCGTTCTGGGAAACCGAAGGTATGGTCACCCTAACTACAACGCAGGTTCCATAAGCTCCGGAACTTGGGTCTGACTTTTTCCACCCCTGCGTCCCTACTGTCTAAATTGGCACAGGACGCCCATAAGGTGCTCAATAAATACCTACTGAGTCACAGTGGTTCCGAGCATGAGCTCTGAGTGCACCTTAGGGGTTCAAACTCTGGCTCCATCACTGATTAGTCAGGTTACTTCTCATGGGTGATCTCCTTGACTACCACAGGCCTCAATTTCCTCATTTGTCCAATGGCAATAATACTAAGAGCACCTACCTCACATGTTGTGTGAGAACTAAATGAGATCATCCACTGTGCAACCCTGGGCACAGGGTTCAGCGCACTGCAGGAGTGAGCATTCAAAAACATTGGCTACGATCATTAGTATCTGTCCTCCTAAGACTGTCTTGAGAAGGCGTGTAGAGTCGATGGTTATGACCCTGTCTACTCAGCACCCCTTCAACATGACAATAATAGAAGCTGCCTTGGATCTATAGGATGCCTGGCCGTGCCTGTCTGCCCCTGAAATGGGCCCCTGGCCTGAGCCTGGCTTAGGGGCACTCTCCCCTGGGACTTGGGGAGCAGCTTTTTCTAGTGATCAAAGATGCAGGGTCTATAGCCCTCATGTGATCAGCAGCCACGTTTCCTATTCTACAGAGAAAAGAAGTCCACAAAAAGAGATTATGACTGACACAGAGAGACCTGAGGGCAGAGGAGGGACCTGGGGGGCACCTGAAGCCCGGTGGTAGCTGTTCCTGAGGCCCTGCTGTATTTCTGCCTCCCATGGTGGCTGCTCAACCAACCCTTCTGAGGTCCTATGAGCCAGGAACCTCCTCTTTGGCCCAAGCTGCCAAGTGTAACCAAAAGAGTCCTGACAAGGGCAGTGGTGGACAGAATCAACACACTAATGTATAATTGATTTTTTAAAGGGGGATGATGATGAGGAAGAGAGGATGATAAATATTCAGTGATGCTCACCCTGTGTCAGGCTCTGGGCTGAGGACTTAACATGCATTATCTCATTTGTTCCTTACAGCCATATCACACAGTGGGCACCATATTTATTCCCATTTTATGGATGAGAAAGCTGAAACTCAGACCCCAAAGGAACCTACCCAAGGCTATACGATTACTTTACTGGCTCCCTAACAGCCCACTATTGCAGGTGATTAATCTAAGCCAGGACTCTCCTAGTGAATGTTAGTAGACCAGGAATGGGAGCATGTCCTACGCTGGCCCAACCACATTGGAGGGAAGGACTTACATTCCATGGCTGGATTTTCTGCCTCTCCTGCTTAGGGGAACCAGTCTTAGAAGGAAGCTGATGCTAAGAGGAAGCTGATGTTAAAACTGGCACAAGGGTAGAGTGGTCAGATAAAACACAGGATGCCCTGTTCAATTTGAATTTCATATAAACAATGAGTAATGTTTTAGTATAAGCATGTCCCAAATATTGCATGGGATACACTTTTATACTAAAAAAAAGCATTCATTGTCTATCTGAAATTCAGATTACCTGAGTGCCCCATATTTTTATTTGCTAAGTGTGGCACAGTGGAAAGAACAAATATATGACAGAACAGCACCTGAAGCCCGCACTACCTCTAAACCTCTGGTTATGTAAGGTCATTGATGCCTTTATTGTTTAAGCAGTTTAGAATTTCTGTCCCTTGCACCCCAATGCACCCTATCTTATGCAGCAAGTCAGTGGTTCCAACCCAGGCAAGAAGGCCACAGAGTCCAAGTTCACACCACCATATCAAATCCTAAAGAGACAGAAACTGAACGCCATATTAAAAGCTACAAAGCCGGAGCTTAGAACACTGAACTTGTTTTTTTAGAGCTGTAAGAAAGCAGCTTGTCAGACTTACTGGAATTCATCAGATTCTCCTCAGTCGATGTAAATCTTTTATTATAAAGTCATGGAATGTGAATTCACTTAAACTGTAAAACTCCTTCATGAATACTAACAAACTCTAAAATTGCAGCAAAGATGACTGCTCATAGCCACCAAAACACAAAAACAAAAACACTGAGCAATTCCAGATTAAGGATCCCAATTTTTAAACATTTATGATAAAATTCCATGTAATTTTGTTTAGGAAAAAACATCAATTAGCTCCATAGAAAATTTTGATTTTCTATCAAACCTGGAGCATTATAAAATAATCAAATAACATAGGAAGGGAGTACGGAGTGAGCAGAATTGAATGACTGAATAGATAACCACAGGACTGAATTGCTATTTAAGAGTAAATATCTTCTGTGTGTGTGTGTGTGCGTGTGTGTGTGTGCATGTGTGTGTATGTGTGTCTTGGGTATACTGTTTACTCAGCATCATAAATCACAAGGTAATGAACCCAAGAAATTTACATGCAGTGCCAGGTATATGATCAATAAACAAAAACAGGGTGCTGAGTTAACCTTTACAGCTCTGAAGAGGCCAAACAATATCTGTGTACCTATGTGCTCATTGCATCTCCCAGTTTTGAAGCCCTGCTCTGGTGCAGAGGCTTTCCCATAACCTGGAACACACAGCATTAACATCACCATCATCTGGGCTCCCTTCAAGCCCATGAAGGGCTATAATCAGGGCATGTCAGTACACAGAACAATTGTGAAGTCAAGGAAAGTTCTAACAAAGATATCTTTGGAAAAAGCAATATATATGTGTATGTATGTATGCAACTGGATTAAAAGAAATTTGATGTGCAATATTCCTGGACATAACGTTATGAAAATGTTCTGTCCCCAAATTAATCTATAAATTTAACAAAACTCCAATCAAAATACCACTAGGTATGGGGTTTTTATTTTTGGTGGGGTCAGAGGAGTACTTGATAAAATGTAAGTTTTATCTTAAAAAAGTAACAAATAAGAAACATCTGAAAAGGAAGAGCAAAGGGAAGGAGAGTGGCCCAAATAGATATCAAAAGTATTATACCACAAAAACAGAACAACATGGTACAGCCACAGGACTGTGCAGGAAGCTCAATGCAACAGAACAGGAAGTTCAGAAACAGACCCAACGTATATATATAAGGATTTGTTCATTGATAAAAGTGGGCATCTAAAATCTCTGCAGAAAAAAATGGGTCAGTGATAAACAACGTTGGCTACCATTTAGGAGATAAGAAAATAAATGGATTGTGAGTTTTACTGGTAGGATGGCTTTGAAAAGTCTAACGTGGCAGAAGGTAAATGGCAGAACAGTATCCACCTCAGAAGAGTAAAATATAAAGTAACAGTAACAGTAAAGTGTAACAGCTGTGAGACCTCAACTCATGGGTTCCAACAAGATTCCCAACAAGAAAGGGAATGCAGTCAACTGGGTCCTCTCCCTCCCTGTAAGACTTCACCGGGTTTCCTTCACCACAACCCTAACACCTCTCCGTAGTCAGTATTTCTCTACCACCCACTACGCCCCGGAATACACAAGGATTCTGGGAAATTCAAAGATTTTTCTGCACATTTGGGATTCCCTGCTCCCCTCAACTGTATGGCATCAATACGTACAGTCTGAGAGTTATCAAAGATCAGGAATAAGTCTTACCTGTTTCCTCTTTTCAGGGGGAATTGATGGATCTCCATCCTACAAAGAAACAAATAGTACATTTTATTAAAAAAAAAAAAAGATGTGCTTAGATTCAAGGAATTGAACCAAACTATGAACTAAATTCAGACCCTCCCCACTCCCAGCCCTGCAACTAGTACTGTGATGAACCAAGCTCAAAGGTACCTAAAATATTAACTATAAACTGAACCAGAGTTATTTTGGGAAAACCTCTAGGGAATTAGTTGCAATTAGGACCAAATCTATATATTTTCTAAAACTATGTGAACCTAAATAAATAAACTGGATTTACTAAAATTATTTTTGAGCAGAATCTAAACTGAAATACTATTTCATTTGGTTTGAGCTGAGTTCCTCTTTTATACATAGTTAGATCCAAAGAAATAGTAATGGACACACACACAGACACAGCTTGAGTCTTTTCTATGGGAAAAATAATTTTGGGGGGTAGGGATAGGATCTGCTCAAAATAAAAGAAAATTAACTGAGAATTTCCAGTCCCATCAGACCTTTTGGTTTAAAAGTTCAATTCCTCTCCCTTGGGTGCCATCTGGGAATACAAGTTGCTAAGGTGAATGAGTAAATGCTCAAACACTCCTCTAGCTGAGTGTCCACATATAGGTCAACGTTATTTTAACCTGAGGAATCTTTCTACTCTATTTCTGTTCCAGGACAGTTCAATGATCCCGGCACAGATGGTTAAATGTTAGCAATAGTGTCAGCACTTAAAAAAGAGATTGCCTCAGTGAGAAAAAAGAAGCAAGGATGCAAAATAGCAGTACGCAGTTGGTATCCTCCATTTCAGTATAATTTGCATCCTTAAAAATCTTACCATATGAAAACCTAGAGAAAATCTAAATGCCCAGGATAAGGAAAAGTTAAAAAAAATATGGAAATATTATTATGCAACTATTTTTAAAAACGAATTAAATTTGTACGTATGGCCTAGAGAGATGTCCAAAATAAAGTGCTGAGAGAAAAGAGTAACTTTCAGAACAACATTTATACAATGCTATGCAACAGAACTCTGCAGTGATGGAAATGTCCCATAGCTAACCGTTCACACAGCAGCCACCACGGAAAGGTTCTCTCTCAAGGAAATCCAATACAGTAGCCGCCAGCCACCTAGGGCGATGGAGCCCATGAAATGTGCTAAGTGAGGATGAAGGACTGAGTTTTCAATTCCATTTAATTCTAATTAATTTAAAATGAAATCTAAATAAACACATGTAGTTAGTGGCTTCTGTATCAGACAGGGCAGATTTATAACACGAATCTTCTTTAAAAAACTCCATCTAAAAAGGTTAGCAAGTAAAGAGGCACACAGGAACAGGGACGTACATGTGTCTGTTTCACAGATGCCGGAGCAAGCAGCCTGGGAGCACATACCTATCAACTAGCGAGTGGGACTGGCTTATGGAGGAAACAGGAGTGACAACTTTCACTTCTTAATTTTTCCACTTTGGAACTGTTTGAATTCAACCGTTTTTTTTTTTTTTTTTTTTGCAGAAACAGCATGTAAAAATCCCCTGTTGCTATCTTAATGAGGGAATGAGAATGTCACCGTGACAGAACACGTACGATCAGCTCTCGGTGTTTCTTCTTTAGGGACTGGTGGCGCTCTCGGAGCTGGTTGGCCATGAGCTTGTACTGGTCCCTCTCCTGCTGGCATGTGTCCAGCTCCTTGGACAGGATCAGTAGTGCTTCCTTCTTGCTCTCCAGCTTCCTTTTACACACCAGGTACTGCAAAGCCAACAGACCCAAGCGACTGGTCAGAAACGTCGACAGCCGTCCATCTGACATGCACTGCATTCACTGGTTTTGTTTTGCTCCCTTTTTTGTCTTTAGAGATCACACACCAGAGACATTCGTCAGTAAATGACATGTGCACGTAAAGGCTGCTCCGTTTCCTAACATACTCCCCTCGCGACAGAACCACAACCTTGGACCTTCACGAACTTTGGCAAACTGGGACAGATAAAATAATTTAATTGACCAATAAGCAAAAAATTTTTAACTTTTAAAAAATTACATAGATAAATAAATAGCTGGACCCTAATTTTGTTTTAAAAGGATTTCTATATCTAGATAACATTAGGTAAAATTTCATTAAAATTTTACAAAATGATATACACAGAAAGATACTTAACAAAAATTTTGTATACTACTAGCAATTATCTCTTGGCAGCAAAATTATTTGCATGTGTTCTTTGATTTTATTCTTTTTGCTTTTCTGTGTTTTCTAAATTTTCTAGAATAAACTCATATGGCTCCCATAATTTAAAAAATACAAAAAATGTTATTAAAAATAATTTAATTGAACCATAAATCACTGCAATAGATGGCACCTGCCCACACAACCCAGCAGACATTTTCTCACTTGAGTATTTTTGTTCACGAACTCGGCCAAGACACGCACATCTTGATTCCAATGCAGCCACTCACCACCCAGAGACCGATTTTGGTGAGCTATGTATCTTAGCCGCACTTTGAAATATCCCCAGACAGTTGGGTGTACCTAGCTGGAACGCTTCCTCAGAGTGACGGGATATCTTTGTCCCTCCTTCTCCTGACTCTCCTACCGTGAACCACCCTCACCTGATAATCACCCACCACATGGGCCAGCGTGAGCCCACCTGGGACCCTGCTTTCATTGGATATACTGCCCCGTCTGGTGTTATTCACATATGTGAAATGTGGCACTAAATAGCTTTTGAATTTGCCCCGTAAAAGACCAAATTCAGAGCATTCATGAAAGCAATTTATAGTTTCATTATACACTCTGACATGAGCACTTTGTCATTATGGACGCTCACACAAAGCAGAGAGAATCAGCACTCCCCTACCATTCGAGTCAATGCTCTTTTATGGACAAAAAGCATTACTCATATATAGTGCTGGCTTGGAACTGACTTTGTTAAGTTCAATTTCAAATAAATGAGAGGGGAAAAAGAGAGTTTTGTGCATTAGCACAATTTTTTTTTCCTTAGGAAAAAAAAGAAAGTAATTGCTTAGCTTCAAAAACAAAGGGGAAAGAAAAGCCATTCTGAGACGGATTTGAGTTCTAAGAGAGGACACTTCCACCTTGGACGAATCTTATTCCTGGCAGTAATGAGGTTGGAATCCTGCCTTAAAACCTCCTGGATTTTCAGACTTTGACATCGTCTTCGTGGAGGCAAAACCGTCCTGTTGCCACAGTGATTTCTCCAGAGTAAAATCCCCAACGAGTAAATATCAGAGCAAAGTGGCTCCAAACCCTCAACGGCAAGGTCCTAAGGGAGGTATTGAGATTTCACAGGAAAAAATACCATTTACACACAATTTAACACATCTGCCCCTGTGTCTTCAGCAACCTCGGGTGTTGGCGCTGTTAGTCTTGGTGGCAGAAGGATGGTCACCTTTGTCCCTTCAATTTATCAGATCCAAATCTGAGGCCCCAAAGATACTCAGTGTCTTCCGACATTGGGGAAGAAAATCCCGATCACGTGGAGACCGTGTAATGTGCAGGAGGCAAGATGAGAGGCAACATCCAGTCTCCTGAAGGAACAGGTGAGGGCCGACACGTATTGGCAAAGTGGAAACTCAAGCTCCTGACCTTGAAGTGCAAACCGTTAGAGTCTAAGAGAGAAGCCATTTCTCTCCCAAGGTGTGGTCCACCTGGGGCCCCGGAAGCTGTGAAGGGCAGTAAACGCCTCCCTTCCCTAGGGTCTGAGGCACCTGGCAGAAAGCAGGCACAGAGGCCTCTGCTGAGACCCCGTGACCTGGGATTTGAGGAGCAGAATCGCTGAAGTTCGGTTCCTCTTAGGTATGAAAACAGGACAATTATAATCACTCCACCAAAGGGTCAGAAAGCAAACACGTTCTGTACAGAAGAGGAAGCCATGCCAAGAAAAGGTGGTCTTTAGAAAGCCGCTGCTGGACTGTTCTTTCTTCTGCTTACTACGGTCTAGAATGGCGAATTTCAAAAATTTTGTTCTAAAAGTTTTTACTCAAATATTTTATGTCATTTATTCTTATCAGTAGGATAAACCTTAGGCTGAAGCCTCATTTCTAAAATGGCTCAAGGTGGCGCTGCCCTGGACGAAGGCAGGATGCCTCCCTCACAGTCTCCCCAGCCTGGTGAGGTGGCATCAACAAGGAACCTTAGAAAACACTGTTCTCCATCACCCTGACATGCTTGAGAAAATGCCGATTCCTGGGCCCCAGCCCAGATTCTCTGAATTGGAATCTCTGGTCATTGGCTCAGGAATCTGCATTGTTGGGACATGGAACAGGTGATTCTTACCCAATCTACACTTCGAAAACCCAGGCTCTGGAGGCCTCAAGCTTCACGGTGTCTAAAAAGTTAGAACCAGGGCCTGGCCCCATGCCCGAGTGTTAAGTTCATGTGCTCTGCTTTGGTGGCCCAGGGTTTCGCTGGTTTGGATCCTAGGCACAGACATGGCGCTGCTCATCAGGCCATGCTGAGGAGGCATCACACATGCCACAACTAGAAGGACCCACAGCTAAAAATATACAACTATGTACTGGGGGACTTTAGGGAGAAAAAAGAATAGTCTGGAGGAACTGACAGGCCAGAGGCAGCCCACAAGTTCAGAGGCAAGGCGTGGTCTCAGAGCCATTCTGAGGGTGTCTGTGCTCCCTTTTGTAGCACAGAGGGGTTCTAAGCAAGTACAAGCATGAACTATATTTTACTGCATCTGGCCAAAGATCCTATATGTGCAGAGTCTCATTAAAATATCAATAGGAACTCTGGAAGGTATGGGCGGGTTGGGGGTGGTATTGGGGAATGGCATGGAATTTTTCACTCTTATTCTAAAATGGTGATAGTTTAGTCCCTGTGATGGCAGTTGTTAAAATGTCCCATTTCCTAGCCCTCCAATTGGAAACAAACAACAAAAAAACTGGAAGGAAAGAAAAACGTCCTGAAGGTCCTCCTTTGTTGGCAGCTCTAAACAACCAGTGAATGCACGGATCCAGCCTCAGCTTCCAAAGGGACCGAAAATAGAACAGAAAGCCAGACAAGCCAAGTTACTGTGGTTGGGATGTTTTGGCTCCTAAAGGAGGATGAATAAGTACAGATGATGGAGGAGGTGGACCAGGAGGCCTCCGTCCAGACATAGGTCTGGCGATGGGCCGTGATCAGCTGGGACTCTGGGAGAGCTACAGAACACAAGGAACAAAAACAGACTGCCTGGGCCTCTGTTTCCTCACTTGGAAAATGAGGGGGGTTCCCAGGGTGCCCTCCAACTTGAGGAACCCACAATTTTAACACCGCCATCCAATATCACTGGGGGTAAAGGGTGCTGGGAAAACCCTGGGGGTGAGGGGCTCCGGTCCAGCAGGTATGACTCACTTTAAGCACCCAGAAATTACTTCCTCTGCCTTGTCCAAGTCAGAGCTGGCTCAGTGGTTCCCGGAGATCATCTGTGACAGTGGCAGTTCCAGAATATATAGCAGGAGCTTCAGGATTGCCACCTGGTTGGGAAGGGTGCTGGGGCTGAAGCTGTGCTTGCAAAAGCAATTTACAACAGAGTGAGAAAAGGCTAAAGGTCTGTGTGGTCGACAGTAGTGCCTGTCTCCAATATTTCCAATTCTCCTTTCCTTCCAGGCACTTGGCAGGACTGCCTTTTCCCATTGTTTTGGAGTCAGGCATAGCCATGTAACTTGTTTCATCCAATAAAATGGGACTGGAAGGGACATGAGTCACTTCCATGGTAGAAGCTCCTAAGAGTCAAGATAAGAATCGCCAAGCTTTCTCTTCTCCTGGCGGCAACAATTGTGGAAGCATGTGTTGCTATGGAGGTACCATAAGAGCAAAACAGGCCGGAGCGTGGAGCCAACACAGGCAGACAACTGCCCTGGAGAGTCATTTGGGTCCACAGAGAAATCTGCATGATCCAGAAATAAACTTTTGTGGTGTTAAGGTACAGAAATTGGAGGGAGGTGTTTATTACTGGAGCATTCCTTATCCCATCGTGACTAACACAGTGCATACAAAAGACCGCAAGGGTAGGGAGACTGGTGGAGCTCACATGTGCCCCTGGTACGGCCATCACAGTGACAAAGAGGATTAATATTATCAATATTATTATTACTATTAACAACAACAAAAAATAAAGTTTTGTGACAAATGCTTTCTAGGTACGACCTCCTTTAATCCTCAAAACAGCACAATGAGCTTACCGTGTCATTATCACTCACATTTTCTAAATGAGAAAGTGAAACAGAGTTTACCTAAGGCGCCAAGGGATTGGCAGAGCCAGAATTTGAACTCAGATCTTTGTAGAGCTAAGCCTGTGAAATCCCAATTGCTGACAAACTAAGCACTCTGTACAAAAAAAAAAAAAAGCCAGAATATTCATGGAGTCAGTTACTGCATTGAGTTGGCATTCTCAGCACAAGGAAGCTAAGAAGGGGCAATTTTGAATTTGGCTATTTTTCAGACCTAGAACAAATAGGTAAAATCATTATATCTTCACTCCCCCCTCCCCAAAACTAGTGGGCCTGCAGCTTCTTTCCTCAGAAACAAGGCCTGAGGGAAGAAGGAAAAAACTAAAGGGATCCACAAGAATCTCTGCCCTCTGCTGCTTGTGAGGGAGCCAAGTGGAAGCAATAAGGTTTCCATCCATTATAAGGAGATAAAACTAAAGGGCTATTTTCTCCACAGCAGCCCAGTGGTAACAGTTTTCTAGAAGCTGTAGTTGGTCTCGATCATTCATTCAACAAATATTTCTGGGTGC